ACAAGTGAGTCCATCAGTCATAAACGCCGATAACACCAGGTGTTCACGATAGGAGTCGAAACCGCCCGAATCCGGATACTGTCAAGCAGCCTGTGATAAAACGTACATCAGAGCCTTAAGCCGAAGAGTGAGTGAGTGGCATGTGAGTGAGTGAGTGAGTGAGTGAGTTTAACTCTTCTTTGAACAGTATTTCAGTTTTCTCACAACGTGTCGGCTTGTTTCGGGAGTAAATCCAGAAATGGTGACGAAATATAAGACGTGATTTTGGTGAAAACGCCCCAGTATTGTGCTGATACATTAGAAACATGATCGTGGCGAACAGGGATTCGAACACACGATCAGAGGTTTCTGGCGGGCTTAAGAGATGCAACTCTGTACAACGAAATGCTACCTCCATAGCCACAGTAGTACAACAGTACAACACGACACAGTGCACTTTAGTATCAGAGAGTAGACTACAATTCATCACATTTCATACCACGCCCCTTCATCAACAGCATGCCCTGGGATGCCACAGATCGCCCTGCACACGACCACTGTGTTGCTGTGTTTACAATGACCGTAGTAAGCACCCACGGGAATTAAACAAATGCAGATAAAGGATCAGAGAGTTTGTTAGTCAGTCCGATTTAAGGTCTATTGTTCTGTCTCAGATAGATCTGGAACTTGTGTTCAGGGCATGGATGTCAGATTGATGAGCGCCACCACCAGGATGTGATGATCATATTATTATATTGTTACTTGACCCTGAATACATAAACAACCTCTGAAGTGTTTAGATTGCACAAGTCTCTAAGGCAATAATCATTAGCTTAAATCATAATTTCGAGATCATATAAATGATAAGAAAGACTTTCCGCTTTTAGCATAGGATAAGGAACTTGCGGTCTGGTGACAACAGGTCATCCACACTTGGAAACTTAAATCCCTTTGTGCCCGATCTTTTGAAATAACTGCTGTAAAGAAATGGAATGCTCTGAAACACTTCCAATTTCGCTCAGAACAGCCCCATGACTATTTTCAAATCAAGACTTAAAACATTCTTGACTTTAGTGTACATATGTATATATGTCTATTGTAAGCGCTTTGAGCATGTTTTGTTGCGTGGAAGGTTGGGGATTATAAGAAATCTTCTTTTTATAGAATTATGATACACCCATGGACTTATCGTTCAGTACAGCTTGAAGTAAGGCGCGATCGTAGCAAGGGTTCTCATAGAGACAACAAGCAAGAACTAAGCTGAAGCGAACTTCAGTTCATATAATGAGAAAGGTTTTGTTTCACCAATGTTGTACGCTTGATCACATCAGTGATAAATGGTCCAATTATACAAATGAAATTTCATGGCTTTAATAAGGCTCCGATGTACTACAATGTCAACAATTTATAATAATGTGACAATATGGTGAACGTGCAATAATTATATTACTGGGGGTCTTCTCAAAAGGTCGCCGATGCTGAGAATTTGCCACGTAAAAGGTTACACGCCCATCACTTAGAACCTTTAGATATAACTATTTACAAGTGTAGAGATAGACCAGATTACAGGACAACCATTCACGTCTTGTGTTCGCTCCTTATGCCTTCTGGCAATGGAATAAATCAACAACACAGACAGGATGAAGATTGCATTAATTTACAAGTCCAACAAACCGAACAAAACCTAAATACGTTTCAACAGCTTAGTCCCCAAAACTAACTTTTTACATGACCCATTCATTAAAGAACCATGAGGTTTCCTGTCAAATACAAATGTTGCACGTGTCATCCATTACTGATCGGCACCTATACAAGGTGTAACATCAGCAGCAGCATCGACAGCTGCTCCGACTCAACACGACCACACTGACCCACATTGTCAGTTTGAGGTCAAAGTTCAATACCATACGTCCGGGAACAAGGCGTTAAAGTGCAATACAATGTGTAAAGATAAAGTCGTTTTGTGTGCATAAAAAACATGTGTCCCTTCTTCCCGCAACCCCCACACCGCCCCCTAAATCAGCACTACCCCAAGCCCTATACAAACGACACTGAATAAGGCCACATAACGCTTCTTTCATGAAAAAGAACATTTTCTCGATGTAACGAGTGACAATATTAATTTTAACCACGTATACAATTCAAGTTGTTTTTGTATGATTTTCACTTATTAAACGAATTATGTGTACGTAATCCCGCACGCGACCAAACCACTCCCAACTTTAGAAAATAACTTATACATATTTTTTGGTTCCACCAGTAGGAACATATTCATAACGTGTATGAAATACATAAATATATTAAGAAAAATCAATGTAAGTCAGTTGTCAGGGAAAGAATACTTGAACACCATTAAGGTAACTGCCCATTTCAACAGCTGATTGTGCACTTATACCTGTTCAGTGGATGCTATAACTGACCAGAGAACTTAACATACAAGTTGACAGAAAATGTCTGGACGCCACAGGTCAGCCACTCGCCAGTTGTTAAGCGTAAAGTGTTTTTAACGAACGTCAAGGCGTCCTTTCAAGCCATGACGTGGTACGTCTTGCCTTTAGCGATGACGTGTGACTTTCAACCCTATGCCGATATCTGATATGAGCGCCCTCTAGAGTAACGATATCAGTTTTCGAAACACAGCTGAGATGAGGATTTATTATATATTTCAGTGTGAAAGAATGAAATTACTGAAGTTCTCAACTTCAACGTGATATTTTCATTGCAGTGAACATAACTCTTTGACGGAACTATTGTCATACAAGAGCTACCTCCCCGCAGATTGTCTCCCTTTATCGCCCTAAGGGTCCGGGACGTAAACAAATTGCTGACTTCCTTTTTACGTTCGTTTCACATTGACAAGGCAAAATAATGACAGATGGTCATTTATTGAGTAAATATCATTTCTTGCCGTTTGTTAATCTCTTGAAGATGTTTCGTTATAAACTGTAAATTTCTCATTTAACTCATCAATCGAGACTGTTCGTTTCGCAAAGCACGTTTTTTGTTACTTGACCAGCGTGTATATTTTCGCTTGCAACAGCGGTCTTGTAGATTTCAAGCATATGTTTTGAAAGTTGAATTTGTTCATTATCATATCTAAATGCATGATAAAGATTTTTTGTGATTCTAAATATTTGTTGTTCCTTTTGTTTATACTTCGTAAGATTTTGCAAACACGGAGCTACATTTATAGTTGCAAATACAAGGGGTGGTGGACGTCACTGTGTGTTAGGTAGGGAGAATTTACCTTTCAAGATTTTACATTTGTGATGAAATAATTTAATTTTCCGGAAGACAAAGACACAAAAAGTATATAATAAATAGGATATTTCATATGTCGGGTGAAATATCATGTTTCTCTCACCGAGTGACGGGGGAAAGTAGATATTTACACTCGTGTCTACGCCACTCGTGAAAATATCACGTTGCGTTTATGAATGATTTGTATATCTCTGCCTGTACGTACCAATGTACATATCTTATTGACAATCATATGTCTGGATACATTATGTTATCGAAACCGTCGGATAGGATCGGTTTTGGTACCACCACACATATCGTATCGACAACTAAATGATGTGGTACATATCACAAGGGCAACCAAGTATTGTGATTAGTATTGCATCGACCGCAATCAATATCGTTATGCAAATCGGATCTGTAGCCATGTGTCATTATGCAATATCGTATCTGCAACGCCGTATTATGACACATATCGTATCAGCAAACACATCATACACCATGATATATCTTCAACCATATGCTATGACATATCGTATATGCAACACGTACAAAGACACATATCGTATCGACAATAACGGGACTCAACCCAAAAAAGTACTAGAATCTGTACTTTACTCAGAAAGTGTTATCCCAAATATAACATAAGTAATATGAGTAACTCGCCATGTTTTAAACAAATCAAAGGCGGTCGAATTTGTGACGTTTTATGTTATCGTACATTTATGAGAAGCATATACAATATCGGGAAATATTTTGTCGTGGATCTGGTGACGATACACAAACAGTTAACTCAATTCAAGAACATGGGGTTCGTTTGTCAATTGAATCTACGGCCCCGCAAATGATAAGCGTTCACAATCTCGTAAGTTCAAAACGGTAACTTGGACAGTCTGATACGTTGAAGATGCTTCCACACCAGACATATACAAGTATGTCTTGTTTCATACCGCGTACAATGGTAACTATTTGTAAACTAAACGGCTTCTTCAGCTAATTCCACTGTCGAATTGAACAAACATGAGATGTGTTTGCATTTCACTTGGTTTAACAATATTCATAAACACATGCTTTTGATATAGCCAGGATCATACAATGGACTCTACTTTTAGTAGAGGTTTCCCATGATGTCGGAAATAAATTTTTTGTCGCTTTTATTTTGTGAGTGTGGTTTTACGCCGCTGTCAGCAATATTCCAGCAATATCACCGCGCGGGACACCAGAAATGGGCCACACATATGTGGGGAATAGAACCCTTGCCTTCGCCGTGACCAGCGAACGCTTAAACCACTAGGCTACCCTTATATTTAGCTGGTGTAAAAATAAGAGCTGTTTGACCATTCATAGTAATTGATTGATTGACAGCTGTCTACATAGGTTCCGCCTGAAAACTACATTTATAACAAACACGCTTATAACGAACTGACGAATATAACGAACTGTTTTAGCACCGTCCATTTACTGTATATATGCTTGTAACGAACTACAGTTACAACGAACTAAAATACTGGTCCCTTTGAGTTCGTTATAACTGTAGTTTATTGTACTGTAAAAAGGTGATGTATATTCGTGTAGAACAAAGATATTGACTTCGCTTACAAAAAGGTTCATGTTTCTTTCCTATTTATTATGAATGTCCATGCAACTCAAATAACGGTAGCAAGACAATTTAACAAACTTGTAAAAAAATTGTTAAATAAACTAAGCGCTCGGAGTAATATTCTATAACATATAAATCGGTTATTTACTAAATGTATAATTGAAAAGTAAAGGCAACTTACCCTCGGTGTGTACAATGTAAGTGTTAGCCCAGTGACAGCGACATCGCATACTACAGATGCAGCGCTCACTGCCGTGCTGTCAAGTCTGCCACACAACTCCCAGCGCCACCACCAGACTGTTGCAGTGAGTCGCTATGGACAACATCGGCAGAGGGAATCGATTGTCCAATACGGACCAACATCACTGATGGAGTAAACTTTCAATCTAACAGTCCTCTCAGTGAGGGATTGCAGTGACGAATGCATAATCAAGGGAATAATCACAGTGACAATGTTGGTTTCACCTCTTTAGTAACACAAGACCGTGTCATTGAAACTGGCGAATCGGTAGAAAAAGAACCAATTGGGTCAGTGTCGTTAGAATAGCTTTATACTCAAGAGAATGTCCTTCAATTAAAAGTTTTCAAAGGTTTTACAGGCATATCGTGGTATTTGACCGTGCCCGTGAATTCCAAGGAGGATCTGTGGATTATGATTGAGGTGGTGAAGAACCTGGTCCAGGCCCTTCAAGAAGTAGCTCCAGGATTTCTTGCACCAACAGAAAAGTACATGTTTTATCTTAACCACGTTATTCACGCCACATCTACTTAAATCTCAAGTAACAAGGCCTTTGCTGGTTGAATAATGTATAAGGGCCATGATTAATAAAAAAATAACCAAATAACATTTTTACGTGCTTTAGGACGAATATTTTGGTTGAGTGTGCTTCATATGGAATCCATGTCATCATTAGCGTGGCTACAATCAATTGTTTTCTTTCCGTAGAGCCACTCTGACATACAACACACTGTAATCAAGGCACGTAAAAAGCACGGTAAATTTAACAGGCTGCACTTAGTAGTATCCTTTGATTACCTGTTTGCCATTTTAACCATTTCAAGTAAAGTAAAGTAAACGCTAAGCTTTCGTGCATGGAAGCTGAAAAAACTAAAACTAAAATCTGCACTTCAGAACAATAAAAAACAACATGCGTTTTACTGCACTGAACTTTTTGTAGAATTGCATTCTACATATGGCAATGGGTTCATTTGAAGGATGACATTTATATGCAATGGATGTATTGTGTGGACGTGGGATGTACAAACGTGTGTTAGCTGTTGGGATCCAGCGATCGTCGGTTTGACTACAGATTCGACTCCATCACAAGATCCTTGGTTCGTCAGCACAACCACGTGCTTGTGACTTTCAGGAATAAGTGTCTACGACCTGAATCCTTTGTGTATTCCGAATTAAGCTGGCACGTGGTGATGTACTGAAATACTGTTCAAAGCTGCGCTACACTTTACTCATTAAGTAATCTCATTAAAATAAGATCTTTTACCCCGATTTGATACCTCTGCGCGTGCAGATCTGGCCACTCCTTCATTGAAGGTCAAGTGACGTGAACCCTGAGGTGAACTTCGACCGCCCAATCTAAATGAAGGATACGTGGGTTCCCGAGCCACTTATAAACTTTCTTCAACGGTTCGTATTCATTTCTTCACATCCTAGATTCGGAAATTGTGACATTACAAAAACGTAATTCCACTCAGAACGCAATTATTCCTTCGATAGCACTCCATTTTAGGTGTAGCTGCCACGGAGCAGGAGAAGGGGATGGAGTAGAGGGGACACAACAGCATACCTAATATGGCGGCAGAAGGCCCTGGGGAAAGTGTAGAGGGGACACCACAGCATACCTAATATGGCGGAAGAAGGCCCTGGGGATGGTGTAGAGGGGACAAGACGCAATACCTAATATGACGGTAGAAGGCCGCCAATTCCAAGTTAATAGTGTAGAGGGGACATCACGATATACATGATATGACGGCAGTAGGCTCAGGGGATAGTGCAGAGGGGACATCACGATATACATGATATGGCGGCAGTAGGCCCAGTGGGCGTGTAGAAGGGACATCACCATATACATAATATGGCGGCATAAGACCCAGGGGATAGTGTAGAAGGGACATCACGATATACATAATATGATGGCAGTAGACCCAGAGAATAGTGTAGAAGGGACATCACGATATACATAATATGACGGTAGTAGGCCCAGGGGACAGTGCAGAGGGGACATCACGATATACATAATATGGGGGCAGCAGGCCCAGGGGAAAGTGTGGAAGGGACATCACGATATACATAATATGACGGCAGTAGGCACAAGGGAAAGTGTGGAAGGGACATCACGATATACATAATATGGCGGCAGTAGACCCAGTGGGTGTGTAGAGGGGACATCACGATATACATAATATGACGGCAGTAGGCCCAGTGGATAGTGCAGAGGGGACATCACGATATACATAATATGGCGGCAGTAGGCCCAGGGAAAAGTGTGGAAGGGACATCACGATATACATAATATGACGACAGTAGGCACAGGGGAAAGTTTGAAAGGGACATCACGATATACATAAAATGACGGCAGTAGGCCCAGGGGATAGTGCAGAGGGGACATAACGATATATATTAAACATGGCAGTAGACACAGAGGATAGTGTATAGGGACAGGGACATTACGATATACATATTATGGTGGCAGTAGGCCCAGGGAATAGTGTAGAGGGGACATCACGATATACATTACAACATGGCAGTAGACACAATGGAAAGTGTACAGGGACATTACGATATACACAATATGGCGGCAGAAGGCCCAGGGGATAGTGTAGAGGGGACATCACGCTACATATAATGATATGTCAGTAGACACAGAGGAAACTGTATAAGGACATTACGATGCACATAAAATGTCGGCAGTCGACCCAGAGGAAACCGTAGGGAAAGATCCGACTATCTCCGAGGCCTCAGCGACACTGTCTGCACGTACCTACCTCTCACGTAGTATCGTGTTAAGCTAGCTGTAAACGTGACCTTACACCATGAGCTGCCAGATCAAAGAGTTTCAAAATACATACATGTAAATTATTCAGACGTTTCTTTCAGTTGGAAACAAAATGGACTTGACTTGCACCGTCGATGCATGATTATGAATCAGACCTGCTGGTAACCCGGATGATAAAGGCATACGTAAGCGTTGGAGATGTACAAATTTTTTCAACTGGAAGAAATCTTAATTTGCGAATTTTCAAAATGCTTCCCCAGACGAATGAAGAGGACACTCTCATAGAAAAGATGCTTGGCTAAATTCCGCGTGTTTTCGCTTTCCTATTTCCCCAGAGAGCTTCAACGTTTGCATATTTCAAACCATTAAATGTAATTCCTTGTCTTTCGTGGCCAATAAGCATCTCTATGGGCGTCAAAATCAATAGACAAAATAGATATCACTTCGGTAGCATCATATTAGGATTATTTGGCTAGTACTGGACACTGGTTATCCTGCATGAATGTCCGCCCCGTCTGTAACAGGTCATCTCGTCCTACAGACTATCTCGTTATGAAGGCTTGAAAGCTAACCGTTAATATATCTGTCTGGATAATTTGAATAAATGTTCAGTTCACAAAGTTTTCTCTGGACTAATTACTTCAATGGTATCAGGTTTTCCACTAAACTGACATAACTCGTTCAGGACAAATTGGTCTGTTGTAATTTGTAAACTTTGAGTCATGTATGTTGACATTTTACTTCATTTCTACAAACTTCTATCTGCTCTGACTTTTGCTTCTGAAGTAAAAGTAGCTCCGGGAATACTGGTAGTAAATGTATGTTGTGTTTCTCATTATAAACTCAATACATTTCAATGTAACCAGATTTTTCCCAGTGTCAATAATGCGGTAAATAATCGGGCTCAACAAGCAAGTCGTTGACAGCATGAGGATCGGTCCACGCCATCGGGATAAGATGACACGCCACCAACAAGGTCACACATTGAACCACCTGGCCTCGTGTTAGTTGACCACAAGTGTGGGATAGTGGGAACAGTCGTTGGTACTTCTACAATATTGTAATATTGCAACCTAACTGAGATGTAGATATGGAATGTGTGGGGAATTGCTTGCTTACTTAAAAAGCAATCAAATAGACAGTTCCCTTCCACTGATTTACCCACCTGAACAAGAAACAAAGGTAGCCATTGAGATCGCCTAATCTGTGTCATATTTAGATCAATGCATAAAGACAAACGCTCCCACAAGACTGTATGACAAGAGGGATGACTTAAACTTTACAAAAGTCATCTATCCCTTCATTTTGAGCAATATTCCAGTAACTCCAGCCTTTGGTGTTTACAATTCTCAACTTTTGTGACACAATCGGGCATACCCTTTCTGCCACGATTTCAAATAGCGTCATATGACAGTTGCTCAGAAGTTGTTTCATCAAGGTTACAACATTCAAAGCCTTAGTAAAGCATTAAAAAGGTTTGATGGTAGACATGTGGAGGACATTTCCAAATTTGACGCATCAGTGACAAAAATGATGTCCGATGCAATTCTTTACTTTGACGTGTACCTTATGATCCGGTGACTGCCTTTGCATGTGTTTCTGACGGGTGCCACAGCCGGGGCAGGATACGCTCACCTGTTCGCGAACACCTGCTGTCATCACTATTTGATCATGCTCATGATATAGAAATTTCTTTTGGATATGGAAAGCGTTTTGTCGCTTTATTTACAAGTTAGGGCAATAATTCGTACGTGATAACATTTGAAATGATCATTTCCCATTCTATTATAACCGGGGTACGTGTTAAAATAGATACGTTAATAATTTAACCTTCCGGAAGTGATTGGGTAAGTGTTTAAAACTGTTTTATGCCGCTCCAAACAATCTCTCACTTGTATCACGGCGTGGCGGCTTAATGGGCGATTAAAGACAAAGGTGGCGCAGATAGGAGACGTTTAGCACGGATATAGTGCTAACAAAACAATAATCTTAATCTGAAATTCGAAATCACGATCATAGCAGCTTAGCTCACCATTAAGGGACGCAACTCTACACAGTGACTCCCGGCGCCTGATACGAGTTGGCTAAATGTTCCCTTTCCAACTGGAATAGCGTGACTGGTACAGATGCAGATTGCATGAAAAATAGATGCAGTCAGTCTCGTTTGCAATAAAGATTTCAATTCCACCCACGGTTCTACAATAACAGGTTGCAATAACGTACTGCATTGGCCAGATAATAAGAAACAAAACATGTACAAATACCGTGAGAGTTGATTATAGCTATCACCAGCTCCCTCCCTACGTCGCGAGGAGACACAGACGACGGAGTCTCTGAATGAATGG